AAGCCAGAATTAAGATTGCCAGAAGAAATATCAACAACCTCAGATATGCAGACAATACCACTCTGATGGCAGAAAGTGAGGAGGAATTAAAGAATCTTTTAATGACGGTGAAAGAGGGGAGCGCAACAAATGGTCTGAAGCTCAACATTAAAAAAAACTAAGATCATGGCCACTGGCCCCATCCCCTCCTGGGAAATAGAAGAGAAAGATATGGAGGCAGTGACAGAGTTTACCTTCTTGGGTTCCATGATCACTGCAGATGGTGACAGCAGCCACGAAATTGGCGGACACCTCGTTCTTGGGAGGAAAGCGATGACAAACCTCAACAGCATCTTGAAAAGCAAAGACATCATCTTGCCGACAAAGGTCCGCCTAGTCAAAGCTATGGTTTTTCCAGTAGTGATGTATGGAAATGAGAGCTGGACCATAAAGAAGGCTGACCCCCAAAGAGTTGATGCTTTTGAATTGTGGTGCTGGAGGAGACTCTTTAGAGTCCCCTTGTCTGTAAAGACATCAAACGTATCTATTTTGCAGGAAATCAACCCTGAGTGCTCACTGGAAGGACAGATCCTGAAACTGAGGCTCCAATACTTTGGCCATCTGATGAGAAGAGAAGAGTCCCTGGAAAAGACCCTGATGTTGGGAAAATGTGAATGCAAGAGGAGAAGGGGACAACGGAGGACGAGATGGGTGGACACTGTCACTGAAGCTACCAACATGAATTTGACGAAACTCCGGGAGGCAGTGGAAGACAAGAGGGTCTGGTGTGCTTTGGTTCATGGGGGTCACGAAATGTCGGACACGACTTAATGACTAAACAACAAGCACATATTTATTCAATTAGTTATGAACAAATACTGCTTTCTTTATTAAAACATAACTAGAGCTAATAATGTTTCTGCCTAGAGATGGGCATGAACTAGCAGTTTATGCTGATCTGTTTTTCAGACGAACATTTATTCAGTGTTTCCTAGCCCTCCCACACAGAGGGAGCGCCCAGAGGAGGTTCACCCAGAGTTATGGTAGTTCCTTTCTCCTAATTTCACCTAATTGGCTAATCAGTTCTGCCCGTGGAAGCGAGCAGGAGGGAGAGCCTATCTTTTGAATATGTCCTCTCACTATATAAAATAGATATTTCATGATTAATACCAACATTCTTTCTATGTCATATTCCTTGTCTCTTCCCTGTTACATAAGATACTGAGAATGCTTCATTTATAGTGAACAAATCCTTATAATATTTCAACCCACAAATTCGGTATTAAAGTATTGGCTGTTTCTCAGATTGTGAGCATGTTTTCTTCTTAACAAAGCAACAAAGGATGAAGCTGAAATCAACCCTACATCTGTCACAATTGATCACGAGAAGACAAAAGACTTTGTTTGTCCTGGAAAATCATCTGGACCTTATAGTCCACAGCAAATTCCCCAGCTTTCAGATTTTGGGCTTTCAAAATATGCTCTCCCAAGTACTACAGGAACAATGCATATTGAACCCCAAGGAGGTACACAAAAGGAAGAACCACGAGGGGATGTTTCGGGATGCTTATCACCAAAGGGAGAAAACTTCCATATGCATGGACGTGACCTGTGTTTGAATGATGAAACCACAAGCTTAATGGAAGATCAAACAATCTTCCTGCTAAATAATGCAAAAAACATCAGGTGAGTAGCATCCTTGGTACCTCTAAAAATATAAAGACTCCACTTTTTCTCATTTTTATAACCCTTTCTGTCTCTGAGGTGATCACATGGTGGTATTTGTAAGTATTATGCTGCTAAATGTAGAAATAGTTGAAGAACTTGAGAGATGTATGTTACAAGTCTTTAGATCCATGGTAGATGAAGTACATTCCTCCAGCTTTTTCTGGACTTCAACTCCAACAATCCCTGATAGTTCATTATACTACCTAATCCTGATGGGAGTTAGAGTTCAACAGCAATTGGAGAGGTCCATATTACTTATTCCTCTCCAGGAAGTAACGTCATCAGCCTGTTCCTGCCCTGAAGGGCTTATAATCTATTCAGCACAAAGAGACAACAAATCCAGGAAAGAAGAGCATATATATATGATACATGCATTCACTCATTCTTAGATAATGTAAAACAAGTTGTCCCATATTTTAGGGCAGAAGGCATATATTTTGTTTGTGAGTTTCTAACAAAACCTGTCCGGTCTTGTAACAGTTTACTTAGAGCTTTTAGAGTGTGACTGCAAGGGAAATGCAAATTCACTCATTGTGAAGTAGCATCAGTGAACTTGGGCCTTTGTGATTTAAAACAGGAAAGAGCCTTTATTTTTCCTGTTTACTTGCCAACCTAGCGGTTCGAAAGCATGCAAATGCAAGTACATAAATAGGGACCACCTCAGTGGGAAGGTAACAGCGCTCCGTGTCTAAGTTGCACCGGCCATGTGACCACGGAAGATTGTCTTCGGACAAAACACTGGCTCTATGGCTTGGAAACGGGGATGAGCACCGCCCCCTAGGGTCGAACACGACTGGACAAAAATTGTCAAGGGGAACCTTTACCTTTTACTTGCCATTCAGCATATTGCCCTGCAAGTGGCACCATTACAAAGAACTGCCTTACGAACAGTACAAGGCTTTCAACTTTGGTTTACTCATATACATAGTTATCTCCTTAGCTTTAAAATATCTTGCCCTCAGAGACAAGCTCCATTTCTTGATTTATAATACAAAGAAGTATTGCCAACCAAGAAGAATTGTGGCAGGGGAGGAGTGTCTTTGGAAAGAGTCTTTGCTCTCTTTAAGTGTGTGCTTTTTGTGTATGTGTGCATGGTTCATGAGACAAGGGAGAAGATACTTTAATAAAGCACAACTTCCTTTGTTCATGCACATGTACTCAGTGGGGCTTTCCTTTCTGCATGAATTCAAAGTGATCACACACTTTGAACCAAAGTGAAAGAATTCAACTTTTTAAAAGTAGAAGGGTCTCTGTTTGAGAGGAAAATTGTGAACGTGTGACTCCAAATTGATTCACCTTTCCTATTGTGTTATTGATCAATGGGAAAAATGCAAATCAGCCTGTCCCAAGCACATGGTATTTCCCACATTTTCCAATGTAGTCAGGCTCTTAAGACATATAAACACAGTCTTCTATCATTCATGAGCTATGCACACTCTCATGGATATAATATTTTATCTTTTCCTTAGGCAAAATAATAAGTTGAGTGGATCAATGGTGATTTCAGCAGCAAACAAGAATCTGGATACACCTAAGCAAACAAACAAGTTATGTGGTAAGTCCTGGGTATTTAGATGAATTGCAAGGCTTTTACTTCCAGAATAAAGTGCTAAAAATAGAAATAAACAATTAAATGAAACATAGACAGTCAAGATCCATAATGACAAAGTTGACAGAAGAGAACCTAAGGTGACCTAGTCTCTTCGGCTGTTCAAAACTTTCTCCCTGAAATTTCACTGTTCCGTTTAAAGGAAGGAGGGATATTCTCTAGCCCTTTTACTTGAGAAAATGTTAAAAAAAAAAAAGCCATGCTCCCTGTGCATGTCTATGCAGAGCAAATCATTTTGTGTAACAAAGCTCCCTTCCGAGCACAATTTAATATGCTTTTTATTCTCTCCATCTTGAATTACTATCTATGCATTGTTAACTGCTAATTTATTTCTATTGTTTTACTTTGTGTTCTGTGAGTAGACTATGTCTAGATGGGTGGCATACAAGTTCAATAAATAAATAAATAAACAAAACCATTGATTCTTTGTTTAGGATTGCAGTATAGGCAAAAAAAGTATTCCTTCCAGTCTTTTGGCTAACAAATGAAAATCACTAAGCGCTCATTTCTAAATTCCATTTTGATATTTCACGGTTCAGGATCTTGAGTTATAATCTGTATTTATCATATGAGGGGTTGCATTTTAGATGCTTTGGGTTTAAGCTCTTTGACTGTTTGTGGTTTAAATCCTATTGCTTAGCATTGTATGTTGCTACTAAACTAGACTCACTGTCTCCGTGGGAATTTGGTGTATAAATTCTTCTGTATGTTCCATTTATTTAATGGGCCTACTACAGTTGTAATTTACTACATTAAGCAACAGGATTTCAACCTGTTAAGTCATAACCTTTCAGCCAGTAAGTCAGAACTTTGAATTTGGTCTGGAATTGGACAAGTTCAGTTCTTGTTAAAGGGGAGTTCTTTGCTTCTGAAAAATACCTCTGGTCAAAACTTGAGCCGCTATAAAATGTTATCCTTTATGACTTACTGAAGGAGATAAATCTACTGAATCTTACTCATCCATTTTTTCCCATTCTTCCAATCCTGAGATTTTACTTGGAGAAAATATGAGCCTCTGGTTGATGAACTATTCTCTCATCAGTTTTTTTTTGGGGGGGGGGGGTCTGGCGAGAAGTTAAAAAACAAAGTGCAAACCTATTTTAATATCACATGGTTCAGGAAAAATCTTCGTTCCCTACTCTGATTGCCCATTACTTCCTTAGGTGAAAAAAAGAGAAAAGTACAGAATACTTAATCTCTTCCTCTTTTAGCCTAAGTAAAACCTATACAACAAGTTACAACCAAAATAATTTTAGATCCATAGGATCTCCAAATAGGAATTTGGAGAGGAAGCCATACTTCTAGCAATCTCTTTCCTTGAATGTAAAGTTAGTAAGAAAAAGGCTTAATTTTCTTTACATTTGGATCAAAAGTTGGAGCCATGACAAGTTTCCCATTATTTCACAGGAGAATTCTGAGTCTAGTGAGAACTCCTTATTCATGAAACAATGATATGGAGCCATTTTGATCCTTTTGTGTATGTCTAACAGTTCTAACTCTTGAAGATTCATTCTACATCTGAAACTACCAATGAAATTTACATTTTCAGATAATGATTATATGGCTTCACCTGCAGCACCTGAGTTTTGCACACCTGGTGTGAAAATTCCCCACAGGAAGAAAATTGTTTTACCCAAATCCTCAGAGGGTAATCATATGGATGCATCTGATCATGTGACAGGAAAGTCTCTAACTGAATCACTGAATCTGACTGAATCACAAGCTATGAAAACAGGACATAAAGTAAGCATCAAATATTTTTTTGAAAAAATATGGATCTCTTAATTAGACCTTCTGGACCATACAGGACATTTTGTGTAGCTTTCCTTAATTGAGTGGTTAATCAAATGTTAATTATTCAATTTTAAAAAGCACCCATTTTTATCCTGTATTTCAGCATTATTTTTTTCTGTTTACAGAAAACCACTGTATCACCAAATAATTGTCTGGAATGTATTGAAGAATCTTGCCCTCCAGCAATATCAGATTACACCAACCTCAGCAGTACTCCACCACCACCTCCTGAAATAACTGTGATTCCAGACCAGATTTTTCAGGTTTGATAACTATTTCCCAACCATCAGTGCTAGAATTCAGCATTTTACAGTGGGGTCTCAACCTACGGAATTAATCCTTATTAGAATGGGGTCCGTAGGTTGAAAAGTCCTCAAAGTCGAAAATGCATTTCACATAGAAATGCATTGAAAACCATTTAATCCATACCCGGCCCGAGACCACCCCCCCCCCCAAAAAAATAAAAAATAAAAATTAAACTTACTTTTCTGAAGCCTTACAGGGGTCTCCCATTGCTGCTGCCCAAGGCCTCTGAGGGCTTCTCCACCACTGCTGGGAGCCTCTCGGAGGTCCCTCGCTGCTGCCATTGCCGCTGCTGGAGGCCTCTTGGAGGTCTCCCCTCCCCCGCCGACACAGGCTTTCCCAGGGTGGACCGGCGGCGGGGCGGAACTCCGAGATCCTCCCATGGCGGCGGGGAAGGCATTTGGAGGTCCGCTGCCACTGGGAGCCGCGCCACGCCGGGCGATCCCAGCCATGCTCAGACTCCTGGACTTCTCCCGTCCCGGCGGCGGCGGCAGCCGGAGACCTCCGGATGTCTCCCAGGGCTTCTCCGCCGCCATTGGAGGCATCTAGGAGGTCCCCCCCCTTGCCACCAATAGTGCCTCCGAAGCTTTCCCCGCCTTCCCCTTCTGGTCTGTAGGTCGATTCTCCAGCCAGAAGTCAAAATGAAACTTTGCGGCCAGAGAAGTCCTTAGGTCGAAAAGTACGTAAGTGGAGCCCTCCGTAAGTCGAGACTCCACCGTATTAGCAAAAAAAGATCTATCTCATGAAAAAAAATGAAATGTTCCCATTTGTTTACCAAAAATCATTGTTTTTAGATTCTATCTAAGTACAATCCAAAAGCAGGAGCAGCCAGGGCTGTGGAGAAGCAGGCAAATGAAGGAATTGCTACACGGACTGAAAGAGCACTTCTTCTTGACATTGGGAACAAAGAAAATCGGTGAGCATTGGAGAACTGGATGTATGTGCGTGATATTTTTCTTACCTTTGTGACTGGATCTTCCAGACATCCAGCAGTAGTGGAATATTACCACAAATATACAGTAGGGCTGCGCAGCTTCACATAAGGGACGTGGGGCTCTTAATTTCTTGGGAAGGACTAATATGAGTAGGTATGTTTATAGCATAGCAGTAGAGCAGTGCCCTTCTTTTCATTGTCTTCATTTTTCATGCTTGGCTCTCACTCGCCCACAACCCCACCCAACTACATGGCATCTTCACTGTTCAGGAAAGGCAAGCCATCTGAGTAGTCTTCTGCCATTTGACAGAATGCAACTAGACTGGCCTGGATCAGTTGAGATTGTGTTAAACAGGTCACTTTTAGGTACAGATTGTTGTTTGGGGGGATCTTTCCATCCACATACAAAAATAAACCACACCAGCTAGTATCAATATATATTAATGCAACTGCCATTTCATTATTATATTTGCAGGAAATATTATGGATGAAATGAACACAAGATCTCCCTGGTTTTTGTTGGGACTGCTATACTGAAGATTGTTTTTAAGAGCAATGTAACTGAATAGGTAGAGGGAACTACCATAGAACATATCTTCATTTGACTGCTATTAGGGATGTGCCATTCACATCCCTAAATTCTGTGGCCTAGATAAGCCTAGGTCTACCTAAGCTTCCTGTTGAGAAGGGAAGTTTCCAGGTGGCACGGGGGCAGCTTCCTTTCTGAACAGAAAGACTGGGCATGGCTAAAACATAAAGCTTTCAAGCTTTCTCTCAGGTGAGCCACATTTACACTTCTATCTCTTAGAACTCTCAGAACTATAGGATTTATAATGCAGAAATTCCAAATGGCACATTGCCAACTTCTACATCTTTCTAAATGATTTGATAGCAGATAAAATGTTTTACTGAATCTATTAACACCAAATGCTAAAATTTAATAATGTGTCTATTATAAATGGTTGCAGTGCTTCTATACAGTCTGTAGCGTTATACTGACAGAAGATAAAGTGGCATGCTTGTAGTTTGCTGCATCATCTGAAGTCATTGTCAATTGGTTTCCAAACTCTTGCAAAAAGTTACAAGTAGTAATTATAGTGTAATTTTGAAAACATCTACCATATAACAAAAGTTCTGTACATTATCAGCTAAAGGGAAAATAAACTGTATTGCTAGAAGCCTTGAAAGCAATATTTTTCTTACAAAGGAGCTGTGCAAACCTGTATACTAGCATTCATCTTGTATTATCTTTGCCAAGGATTTCTCTGCACCTTCAAGTAGATTATTTGCAAAATGTTTAGAGCGGATGGGAAGTAATCTGGTTGCCGAATCCTAACCTTTTTTACTCAGTGGCCCCTTCTTCTTGGGAAGTAAATAGTTGAGTATGTAAATAACTTTGTTTTAATGACAGCATTGTGGAGCCGAATAGAGTAGATATAATAAGGTGGATCTATGGTTGAAAAGTCAACTAATCTTTTTGCCTAATTGAGAAAAAATAGGAAAGTCAGGGAAAAATAGGATCAGCTCTGTTCCTTGTAATCTACCACATCCAGTTTGACACTGGTGTATGCATGTATTCTTTTCCTGTATGGTTGCAATGGTGATTCAGAAATGGTGAACAGGTGGTGTCATTGAGAGACACACATCTGGTCCTGGGGCCCAAGTTCCTTAGTATATGGACTGAAATAATGTGGCAATGCTGTTCGCTTCTTAATACTTTAGATTATAATGTGTATATCAAATATAGTAAAATTCTTTAAATGTTACATCTGGATGCATACTGAATATGTAATATTTTGGAAATTCAAACTGTTTTTATGTATTTATGCAAGTATGTTTTTATGTATGTATGTATATTATACACACAGGCACACACATCTACACATTCATATACCTACACAGACCTCAGTGTGAATGATATTTAGAAAAGTTATCAAAAACAATGCTAGTTCATCAATATTTGGACTATAATCCCTGGTGAATATATTTTTAAAAATTAAAGACTGTAATATTTTAAAAGATTCTCAACAGAATTGTCTAATTTAGAGTCTGTAGTTGTCTTCTAGCTAAAAATGTTTAATTTGTATCAGAGGCATCTGTATTAATCCATCGGGTCCCCTCCAACTCTAAGACAATTATTTATCTAAGTACAACGGGTCCCCTCCAACTCTAAGACAATTATCTATAAGTACAAATTATTTATTTATTATATGCCGCCCACTCTACCCAGAGGTCTCTGGGCGGCTTACAATAATTAAAATTCAATACAATAAAAATGAAATGATTCAAAAACAATTAAAATACAATTAAAATTGCCATCATCAGGACCCACAGTTGATGTTATTTCAATTAAAAGCCTTCTGGAACAGGAAGGTTTTGACCTGGCGCTGAAATGTCATCAACGTCGGGAGGGCGTTCCATCGTTCCATCGGGGGCAGCTGCCGAGAAGGCCCTTTGTCTACAAGCCATCCCTCTTACCTCCTTGAGGGATGGCTGTTTCAAAAGATATTATAATGAATCAGGTACTCCAAAGCCAGTAAGAGTGATAGAATCTTATCTTATTACGGACATTGGCAATCAGAAAAATATTAATTTCATTACACAGTCTTGTCATGCAGGACTGACAACTGCATAAATATTCTCTTCTATCAAATAAGAACACCTTATATCTAGGCTGAAATACAATGTCCTCATTTTTTCTCTTCTGAGCCTGTTTCATATAATGCACTAACTGCTTTCTGGGCATCCATATCTTTACTTTGCTTTTATAAATGTCACATGAAACATTATTGACAATCTTAGAGCTCTGTCATGTCACATGAAACATTATTGACAATCTTAATTAGAGCTCCGTTTGTATGTTCCACTGATAGTGATTTATTGTATGCTGATATGCAGTGGCTTGCATGCAAAGATTTTGTGTGAATGGAATACAACCTTCACTCATGGATGAAAATGCTGATTACTTTTTCCATCACCTTGCTGCATTTCTACCAACAATATGACTTTGGACCAAAGTACCCTCTGATTTTCAGCCTTGCTGGGCAGGTTCCGCCTCTCGTGCACGGAGCTTTGTCCCTGCATGTGCATGTGACTCTACCCCCACACACGCTTGGTTCTGTCGCAACCGGAACCTCACACAATTGCTACACAGAGAAGGAAGAGATGCATGGGGGGGAAGCAGGGTCATGCGCACATACACACCCCCAGCTTAGCAGGAACCTTGCTTTGGACTATGTCTCCAAATGTGATTGCACTGGGAGACGAGAAGTAAGAGATCTCAATTCCGCAAGCGGAGTTCTGCTGCTTGAAATTGGGACTAAAATTGCTGCTGCCGAGTTGTGGCATAGGGAAGACTGTGTATACTGTCTGATCCCTTACTGTAATGCCTTTGAATTGTGATGCTGGAGGAGGCTCTTCAGAGTCCCCTGGACTGCAAGGAGAACAAAGCTATCAATTCTAAAGGAAATCAACCCTGAGTGTTCACTGGAAGGACAGATCCTGAAGCTGAGGCTCCAGTACTTTGGCCATCTAATGAGAAGAGAAGACTCCTTGGAAAAGACCTTGATGTTGGGAAAGTGTGATGGCAAGAGGAGAAGGGGACGACCAAGGATGAGATGGCTGGACAGTGTCTGCGAAGCAACCAACATGAATTTGACACAACTAAGGGAGGCAGTGGAAGATAGGAGGGCCTGGCATGCTCTGGTCCATGGGGTCACGAAGAGTCGGACACGACTAAACGACGATGATGTATTGGCAGTAATGTTTTTTGCTAAGAGGGTTACAAATCTGATCAGGAGAGCTTTAAACTGAGTTTGCAAAGTAGCTAGTAAAATGTGGGCTAGACAGTGCTACTGTTCGGTGGATTTGTAATTGGTTGACTGAATCCAAAGGATGCTCACCATTGCCTTCTCTTCATCCTGGAGAGTGGTTACTAGTGGGGAGTCTCAGGGTTCTGTTCTGGGCCCGGTGCTATTCAACATCTTTATCAATGACTTGGATGAAGGAATAGAGAGTATGCTGATTAAATTTGCAGATGATACCAAATTGGGAGGGGTTGCTAATTCCCCAGAGGACAGGATTAAAATTCAAAATGACCTTGACAGATTAAGAGTCCTGGGCCAAAACTAACAAAATGAATTTCAACAGGGAGAAATGTAAGGTCCAAAACCTAGGCAGAAAAAATGAAGTGCACAGATATAGGATGGAAGACACCTGGCTAGACAACAGTACCTGTGAAAGGGATCTAGGAGTCTTGGTAGACCACAAACTGAACATGAGTCAGCAGTATGATGTGGCTGCCAAGAAAGCAAATGCAATTCTTGGTTGCATTAATAGGAGTATAGTGTCTAGATCAAGGGAAGTGATAGTACCATTCTAATCTGCTTTGGTCAGACCTCACCTGGAGTATTATGTCCAGTTCTGGGCACCTCAATTCAAGAACGATGTTGACAACCTGGAACATGTCCAGAGGAGGGCGACCAAAATGGTCAAAGGTCTGAAATCCATATCCTATGAGGAGCAGCTTAGGGAGCTGGGAATGTTTACCCTTACAAAAAGAAGGTTAAGAGGGGACATAATAGCCACCTTTAAATATCTGAAGGGATGTCATGTCGAGAAAGTGACAGGTTTGTTTTCCACGGCTCCAGACACTAGGACAACAAGCAATGGTTTCAAACTACAGGAAAAGAGATTCCACCTGAATCTCAGGAAGAACTTCCTGACAGTCAGAGCTGGTCGGCAGTGGAATAGGCTGCCTCGGAATGTGGTGGAGTCTCTTCCTTTGGAGGTTTTTAGGCAGAGGCTGGATGGCCATCTGTCGGGAGTGTTTTGATGGAGTTCCTGCATGGCAGGGGGTTGGACTCGGTGGCCCCCGTGGTCTCTTCCAACTCTGTCATTCTATGATTCTAATTTATAGTGCTCTTAAAATGATTCTGGATTATTTTCTTGAACATTATTATCAGTGTCTTGTCTAAGACATGATAGAACTGCAGTCCAATATATGAAGCATCCCTTATTTTACCCATTCCTACCCTAACAGATAAAAGGACAGAGCCAACTAGAAATTCATAAGCGTCAGCATCTCAGCTAACCCTTTCCAAGGTACACTGTTCTAATTTTAACAAGAATGTAAAATTTGCATGTCTTTACTTCACATTAGTGAATGAAAATGTCTGCAGTTGATTCTGCCTGATAATTATCTACTTAATGGGAAATAGTTGCTGACAAAACATACCAGCTCAAGAATATTTTTTTAAGATTAAACCAGAATTCATTAGCTCTTCCTGAAGCTGCTTACGGTCAGATATAGAATGGTCTGGGGGAATTAGCTGTTTTAGTAAGTTTGAAACAGGGTACTGATGCTTTTTTTAAAAACATGCTTGTTTGTAAGTTTTTAAAATCTTACTCCAATATTGAAAATTAAACCAGGTTCCTGAACGACAAAATGACAAACCTTCTGCAAGTAAAAACATACAGTACAACTTTCAATTCTCCCACCACCATAGTCATTGCTGGAGCTTCTGTCCAAAAGTAGTTTTCTAAGTTCTGAAAAAAATAGTACCACTGCAATGACAACAGTAATTTTTTTACATGCTACTGAGAATTATTCAGATTTAAAGAAAGCTGTTTATACTAAAGAATCACATATTCAAACTACATCTGTTGTAGTGTCTAGACAAAAGGGCAGACAGACAACAGTAAAACTTTGCTCTTGACAGTTTAGTGCTGTAATGTCCAGGAACTAAATTGTTTCACAATACTTTTTCTACACATCTTTTACGAACTATTTCTAATAAAAAAGGTAAGTTGCCTGATTGGGTTGGACCGTGGAATACAACACCTAAGAGCAACAAACTGCTGTATAAGCAGCAGCATCTTGTACATAAAATATTTTATATATTCAACATTTAAGGACATAATCTTTCACTTATAAGCAGTTAAGTTAAAACATGTAAATAGCAAGTCTCACATGACTCGTCTATCTTCCTGCATTTAAAAGAAATAGAGCTAATGTGGGGATGGCTCCCTACTTTTAGTCATCAGTGAATAAAATGGGTTGCATCATTACATTATTAAAGAATTATGCTTCTCATAATTCAGTAGTGGTTGTAAAAGCTATCTTCTCAGACCTGTATATGGCCAAAGGTGCTTAATTTTTAATTTAAAAAAAATCTTTCAAGCACACATGTATGACCACAAGGGCAAGAACAGGAAATCTAGATGTATCTCAGACTTACTCATAGCAGCCCACATAGTGGCCATATTGCCACATGCTAGCATTCTTCCAAGGGCTGCTATTGCAGAGAAGAGGCCAAATAATTGTTTTCAAGAAGGCAAGACTCAAGTGTGAGTTACACAATAATAGATTGCAGATAAACACTAAAGAAGCTCCTTGATAGGAGCGCACAATCATAGAATAATTTTCTTACAAAGGGTTGCATCTGTCTTGTTATGAGAAGACCTTAGGGAGAGGCTGGAAAAGCAATTGTGGATATTTCAGCTCTGGCTTCCCTGCATCTACAAAACTACTGTACTTAAAGTGTAATAAGAACCAGAACAGCATGACTACATTTTTTTTCAGGGTATGGATTTTTGAGCAAAAGTATCTTTCCTAGATGTTCAGCTACAGTAACATTTTCCCAGTACATGGGAAATGCAGTTTTCCTTCCAGCTTTGATTTAGGGATTGTGCTGATTCAACAAGCACACACACAACTGTTCACCAAGTAAATAGAAATGCAGTTTTCCTTCCAGCTTTGATTTATAGATTGTGCTGATTCAACAACACAACTGTTCACCAAGTAAATAACTATATGATGAGCATTGTCTTAGATACAACAGGTTATTTTTTCCACTTGTGTATTCACACACTACCACACTGCTGACTAAAAGAAACATTTATTTACATTCTGCTTTATTTCACAGAAAATCTCAATAGCGTACTTATGAAATACATCCAAGTAATGTTAACCTCCCCATGTTAGTGGTTGGTTTTACAGCATATTTGCTTCATAACCAATCTCAAAAACACACAAGGGCAATTGTCTTGGGGCTACTCTTTATGCACATTTGAAACAGTGGACAGTCCCAGTTTTAACAAATCCAAGACAGAAAAACTACTAATCCAACTAGCAATTTCATAATAACTTCAACATTTTCCAGGTTTAGTAAGTTTTCTAGTCTCTGCACAAAACATTTCTTAAAAAACAAGCTTTTATCTAATGAATGCAAAATAGCAGATGGTACAGTCAAGCAGAGAAAGCCAGTTATTAGTAGGGCCTCATGCGACCTGATGGAGGTGGTGCTCGATTTGGAGGAGTAATTGCTATGTCAAGATAATCCCCTATTTGAAACTTCTGAGACTGTAGAGTCATGGAATCATCTGTGCCCTTTCTTCCTGACATTGTACTGCCAATCTCCTTCACCCTGTGGAAAAGACAATACATTATTTGTCTTCAGTAAATCAACTTGAGATCAAAATGAAGAACCATATTTAATCTGAATTAGGAATGTTTCCTCGCACCAAACCAAATCACTATTCCACCTTGCTCAATATTCTGATTGCCCGTGATTACAAAGAGAAAGACTGAAGCCTTTGCCAGGACAGCTCAGTGTTGCAGAAATTTTCTAAATGAAAATGTCATGGAGTGAACCTGAGGTTCACACAGAACACATCCTCAACAACTTGATCTACCGTATTTTTCCATGTATAAGACACCCCCATATATAAAACGCCTCCCACTTTTCTAAATCAAAATTTCTTTACAAGAAAGTCGAGGGGGAAAATCTTCTGCATTCCCCCTACATTTTTGTTGCAGAAAGCAGCTTCCACCCTCCAGGTTTTGCAAAGAAAATGCAAGGGGAAAGCGATTCCTGCTTTCCCCCTACATTTTTGTTGCAAACATTTTGCAATGAAAATGTAGTGGGAAAGTAGGAATCGCTTTCCCCCTGCATTTTCTTTGCAATACCTGGAGGCAGAAAGCTGTTCTTTGCAATGACAATGTAAGGGGAAAGCAGAAATCGCTTTCCCCCTCCATTTTCTTTGCAAAACGTGGAGAGGGAAACAGGGATCAAAGCACTTTGATCCCTCCCCCCTTATTTCAGAGTATAAAACCCCCCTCAATTTTTTCTTCAATTATTTTAGGAAAAAGTGTTGTTTTATACACAGAAAAATATGGTATATCTCACTGCTGATCTCTTCTTAAGAATACAGTGGTGCCCCGCATAGCAACAATAATCCATTCCAAAAAAATTGTCGCTATCCAGATTCGTCGCTATGCGGGGCAAAAAAACCCATAGGAACACATTAAAACACGTTTAATGCGTTCCTATGGGCTGTAAACTCACCGCTATGCGGAAATCCTCCATGCGGCCGCCATTTTTGCTGCCCAGTGAGTAAAGGGCGCGAAAACACTGTGGGCGGCCATTTTGGAACCGCCGATCAGCTGTTCCCAAAACATCGCTATGCAAAAATCGGTAAGCGAAACGCTTACCAATCATCGCAAAGCGATTTTTAGCCATTGAGAACATCACAATGCGATCGCAAAAAACGCATCAGTATGTGGATTCGTTAACCGAGGCGCTCACTATGCAGGGCACCACTGTATACAAGCCACTTCCAATTATTTTATTTATTTATTCGATTTTTATCCCGCCCCTCCAGACAGCATCTATTCTTCTCTGCATAATATATCTGTATCATAATATATATAACATCTGTATGATGATCCTTCCCCATTCAGATGGGAAACTTGTCCCATCCATATTTCCTATCTGCATTTCATTTAAAAAATGTACAAAGCAGCCTTTGAATCACTTTTTTAAAAAGTTAGTGATGTTTTAAGCACAGACAAAACTGGGAATACTTTAAAACCCCTGTATAACATTGAATACGTTCTTAGAGCTTCTATAATTCTTTACGCAGCTTGTACAAGGCTATTCTATTAGCAAGCACAGTTGTGGAGCAACAACTGTTCTCAAAATCTGCTCATAACCATCTACAGTTTTGAGCTAAGTGTATTCATTTATGGCTCTCAAATTTATAAGCCCCATTCCATCTCTTCAGAGTGAGATCCTCTTTTCTTCCAGGTGCCCACTCAGACCAACAGCAGCATTTCTCAAGAAATGACACATAATTACCTACTGGGCTTCATATGCTCATGGGACAGAATCAATGGACATTTGTTCAATAGCGTGTGTTGGAGACAACAGAAATATCTTAAAATTGGTGGATCTGGAGATTTGCCAAGAATATGTATGCCCTGTCCCCACTGACTGTATTACCTGTAACCAGGCTTTTTAAGATCTGTATACACTATTGCAAAGTTGAAATGTGTGCCCTTCTTCCTTGCTTCTGGGTAGACTTCTTTCACTAAACTGGTTAGTTCTTTGAGAGTCGCATCCATCCTGGAATGATCAAAAAGTGTTACAGGCCAGCTTAGTGACTGGACTTTTCCATCATAGTAAGTATTAAGTCAAATTTATGAAGGAAAACAGCAAACTGAAACACAGGCCTGCATCATGATGTCAACAAGATTCCACGATTGTTTAAGAGTTAGTTCTGCTTTAGCCAATAGCTTTTAAGGCAGTTTTCTAAGGTTCAAGAAACTGTCAGACTATGTCTGCATTGTGAAATTTAGTCACTCTGATTTATCAGTTGCTATTTTTCCTTTTAAGATCTTCAGAATACAACATACAAATAAAGAGTGAAAAACTTCTACTGTTTCAGAAGATGTGAAGGAGCCAGTGTTTCAAGGTCTTTTCTCTGACCTCCAGAAGTCAGTTGAATTCCAACTGCTCAAAATAAGAAAAACCTTTAGCTATCTGTCAGTTTCTAACCGCCAAATAGAAATTCACTGCCACACTTTTCAGGAGCACACACACAGGCATCAAGCCAGTGTATGCATGCACCTCTGAGTATTGTGACAGAGAGTCTTTATTGGCTAGCTAGGAACAGACTGAAAGGTAAGAATTCTTTTATGCTAAGCAACAAAATTTCAGCCATAATATTGCATATAAATTATAGTAATTAATCACTTCTATACCTGCAGCAACTTAAGCAACTTGTAAGATAATGCAATGGCTGATATCCACTAGTACTTTGCACCTAGAGTAGACCCACTGCATCAGTAGGGATACGATATGTCAGCTCTCCATAAGTTCCATTAATTAACAGCCTACTCTAGTTGTGATTCACCATTGGATTTCAGCCATTGTAAGATTACTCAGAATTAATTAATTAAAAGAGAATTTTTCATATGCTTAGGACTGCATATTTAATTGTGCCCTACTAGGGTACCAAACTTTATGGAGCAAAACCTAGACTAAGATTTTAAATCAGGGATGAGATGTAAAAACGTCATCTACAGACTTTAGCAAGATATTACAGCACCTACCATTCAGCCTCTTGAGTTGTTAAACATTCTTAGCATTAAGCAAGAGGATGTCTGCACCAAGGTTAAAACATAGTTTTAAAAAAACACTACTCGCTAGGCAGAAAGTCTGGCATTGAATTACTCAACTGTAATGTCTTGGTGCAGCATAACATATTGCCTTTAAAAAAAATTTAAGTATTTTTTTTTTAAAAAAATGGGACCACGGGCTAAGCTTCCTGGAATAAGGACTGCCTGCATCTAACAAGGACTGGGAAGAATGTGTTTGCCCACAATATGAAGAATTTCATCAGGATGGCTTTAAAGTGAATTGGAAGGGGAAGGGAGACGCAAGCAGAGTTAAGGGGAGATGAAGCCTTACACACAATGATAGGAATGGACCAAACTGATCAAAAGGGCAACAATAATAACATTAACAATAATAATCAGAATAATAAACATAACAACAATAATCATAATACTGTAATCATATTCATAAAAATGTACAAAGACAAACAGGCCACAAATCACAAAACTTCTGATGTCGGGTTTTGCCAGGAATATGGCATACAAACAAGAAGAACTCAAAATTTTAATTCAGGAGGGCAAGTATGATGTGATAAGAATAACTGAAACTTGGTGGGACGACTCCCATGACTGGAATGCAGCAACTGAGGGATATAAACTGATCAAAAAGAACAGAGAGAATAAAAAGGGGGGTGGACTTGAAGTATATGTCAAAAATACACATTCCTGAATAGAAATACAGCAGGAGGAGAGTGGCTGTCCCACCAAGAGCATCTGGATCAATCTAGCTGAGGCAAAAAAAAAAAAAAGGGAACTTGGTAGTAGGAGTGTACTACTGACCGCCCAATCAAAGAGAGGAAGCAGACAAAACTTTTAAAAACAAATTGCATGGTTTTCAAAGAGACACAACGTAGTAATGATGGGAGATTTCAATTATCCAGATATACGTTGGGAGGGAAATTCTGCCAAGTATGACCTTTCCAAGATATTTCTGGCTTGTGCAGCTGTTAATTTCCTCCTACAAAAAGTGGAGAAAGAAACGAGAGGATTTGCTATACTTGACTTGATTCTGACCAACAAAAATGACTTGGTGCGGAGAAGGCAGTAAGGGTAACTAGGTGAGAGTGACCATGTCCTTCTAGAATTCTTGATTTCAAAGGAAATGAAAGCAGAATGTAGCCACACAGGTCTGCTGGATTTTTTAAAAGCCAATTTTAATAATCTCAGAACAAGGATAAAGAAGGTCGCATGGCAGGAGATCCTAACAAGAAAAAGAGTCGAAGAAGGGTGGGAGCTTCTAAAAAAAATACATTCTAAAGGCACAACTACAAACAATTTCAAGAAGAAGAAAAAGAGGGAAGGCAGAAAAAAAGACTAGTGTGGATCTTGGAATTGTAGATCACAAGTTAAATATGAGCCAACAGTGTGATGTGGCTACAAAAAAGGCAAATATTATTTTAGGCTACATTAATAGAAGTACTGTTTTCCAAATCCTGCAAGGTGCTAGTCCACATCCATTCAGCACTGCTTAGGCCTCGCCTTGAGTACTGTGTCCAGTTCTGGATATCACACTTCAAGAAGGATGCTAATAAATTGGAACAAGTTCAGAGGAGGGTGACAAGGATGATCAGGGGGCTGGAAACCAAGCCTTATGAGAAAAGCCTGAAAGAATTGGGCATGTTTTACCTTGAGTAAAGAAGCTGAGAGGTGGTATGATAGCACTTTTCAAATATCTAAAAGGCTGTCATACAGAGGAGGGGCAGGATCTGTTCTCCATCATCCCAGAGTGCAGGACATGCAACAATGGGCTCAAGTTCAAGGAGGCCAGATTTCGGTTGAATATCAGGAAAAACTTCTTGTTAGAGCAGTTGGACAGTAGAACCAGTTTCCTTGGCAGCTGGTGAGTGCTCCAACACTGGAGGCATTCAAGAAAAACTTACATGATCACTTGGCAGATATGCTTTCATTGTATTCCTGCACTCAGCAGGGGGTTGGACTTGATGGCCTTGTAGGCCCCTTCCAACTTCACTTTTCAATGATTTCTATGATAGCAATTAAAGATAACCAGCAAACATCACTGCATTAATAAAAATAACATTAAAAAGAAAAGACATGCAAAACATACTTGTGTTGGCCCTAAAAGCAACATAAGTAATATTATGGACAGTAAATTCTTTTCACACACTATGTTGAAAAGGTTTCAGTGACTGTGCAAAAGCCTCTTAGGTGCCCATTTAACTAGTGCTGAAGGGTGTGCTAGTCAGCAGAACGGAAAAGACTAGGCACACTGCCTGTTGCCTAAACAGTCCTGCTTCTCTCCTGCCACCTTCCTTTCTCACAAATCTAATCAGAACCATACCAGAGGCTTGCAATTTCATACAGGCTTTTCATTTTGTGATTTAGAGCAGGACATTTGCTGGATCCCCTTCTTGGATGCACACCTTAATGTGTTGAAGGCGCTTGAGTGTGTCAGAGAACTGAAAGCCATGTTGTCAGGTGGCCAGACTCCACTGTGAGCCTGAGCTCCTAAGCAGGGTCACCCAAGGGAGAAAATTTACAGTCGAGGCACCAGACTAAGGTGCATCCATCCTCTTCAGGAATAACAGCCACATCACCAGAACAGAAAGGTAGTCCCAATGGTGATGAGGGTGGAGAAACTTCTGGAGGGCAAGCTACTGGGTAGCAGCAGTAGCTGAAGGTTACCTTGGTTAGAATCTTTCACAGACCATGAAGCAATATTCAAGCTATATTTTGTTAGTACAGTACTGTACCAGTTTTTTTCTTTATTCTTTGATTTTATCATTGCCATTTGTTTCTGGGGACCAAGGCCAAGATTATTCACACTCTTGTATCCCTGATTACTGTGTTCAGATATGAAAGCAGGACAGTGAAGAAAACTGATTCTTTTGAAATATGGTGCTAGAGGAGAGCTCTGCAGATAAAATGGACTGTCAGAAAGACAAATAAGTGTGTCCTAGGTGAAATCAAGCCTGAACTATCTCTGGAGGCAAAATGAAATGGAGGCTTTCATGCTTTGGTCACATTGTAAGAAGGAAAAAATTCTCGAGAAAATATAATAATGCTGGGAAAAATTGAAGGCAGCAGGAAAAGAGGAAGGCCAAATATGAGATGGATTGACTCATCAAGGAAGCCAAAGGCTTGAGTTTACAAGAGCTGAGCAGAGCTGTTGAGGACAGGAGATTTTGAAGATCACTCATTCATAGAGCACATAACACAACCTGCTCAATAAGAAATGTTATACAACATATTTATCTTGACTCAAGCAAGAACTCTGAGCAAAACTGAAATATGTTCCATTTACACTAGATGCCAACCATATCAACAATAAGACACTTCTTACCGAGAAGACAATCCACAAATCAAGAAACCTTTTACCACTATGCCACAGTAAGGAAGTACTGGGAAGGAAGCCTTAGAAATATTTCCTGAGAACAGAACTCTAAGATGTCCCTGGCAGTATGGCTGTCAGTAGAAACAACCACCAAAAAGGTTGGAGAAGAGCTGAATACATCCCACAAGCTGTCAATTTTTGTTAGTATCTAAATAGCAGGGTATCTAAAAACATGCTAGGGGATTTCAAATTCGGAAAGAAAGTCACAGCAGCAAATTTTGCATCACTATTCACTAAGACGTTCAGATCTTTCACCTAACTGTTAGAAACAGAGTGTGTCTGGCTATGACAACACTATACCAAAGACAGCATAAAGATCCTCACCACTCACCAGGTGTAGATTTGAAGCTCACTAGAGGGCACATTCCCCCTGGCAAACTCATCCATTCGGTGATGACGTCCATTGTTTGTAGTGAAAACCCTCAGCAAGAGGGGACAGGTCTACAAGGCAAAATCAATAAACCATTAATTCACTGTGATGCAAATAATAAACAAAACCACCCTAAACACCCTTTCTAGGATATACTGCAGTAGTACCTATTCTAAGATGCAACTTAACAATCTACACTAGACAAGTAAAAGGAAGGGAGAAAAAGGTGTGTAACAGCAATTTTATCTTCCTTGGTAGCAAAGGCCCATCATGTAGCGACTGTCGCATCCAAAGTCACATTGATTTTAATGGACATATACTTTTCCAATGTGGGACAGGAGGCAACAAGGCAGCTTTGAAGAAGAACCACTGGTAGACCAAAAGTGGAAGTCTGTAATCAGACTGGGATAGATATGGTAGGAGCAATGGCAGAAAGGTCTGCCCTCACTGGCTTATTGTGATTTGTCTTACAAAGCAGATCCCATGCCTACCTCTGTTCCCTCTCCCTCTACTCACTGAAAGGGAAATCCATCATACAGTATATCTTCTACATCCTCTCCCCAGAAAACTGCTCCCTAGCAATGTTAATTTCATCACAGATTTTCAAATTCCAAGGGACAAAAATAGCTGTTGTCATAAGCTTTTAAATCATAAGATTTAACCTATACAAGCATATTTGAGATTTATTAAAATAGACCTGACTGCATTGAGTGCATTTTTGTGTTGCTTGTTTTTTGGTTTTCTATCCATTTATCCTTTTAGCATTGTATACTCATTGTTAATAACTTAAATACTATATATTGATTGTTGTAAGCCACCTTGGGTTCTTTTTAAGGAGAAAGGTGTGTTAAATTTATTACAAATAAATAAATAAATAAATTTTACCCCATCTTCTTAAAAAGCCACAAGGCAGCTTACATCGTTAAAAGACTATGTTTAAGACAAAAAACCAGTAAGGATCAAACACTACACTACAACACGGTAAACAAAAAACATCACAAACACGTTCAAAACAGTAAGCCACAACAATCTGTTTAACAACCCAACTCAGGCACCCAGTCACTGACGGAAAGCTTGCCTGAAGAGAAAGATCTTTGCCTGCCTGTGGAAAGACAGCAAACATGGGACTTGCCTGGCTTCTTGTGGGAAGGAGTTTCAAATTCTGGGAGCAGCAACAGGGAAGGCCCTCCCCCATGTCCCCATGAAATGCACTTGTGACAGCAGTGGGCCTGAGAGAAAGGCCTTTCCAGCTGATCTTAACACCCAAACAGGCTCATAAAGGAGACACAGTTCTTGAGGTAACTTGGACCCAAGGTGTTCAGGGATTTTATAGTTTAAATTCTGCCCCCAAAATGGATTAGCACCCAGTGGAGCTGCTATAACAGGGGAGGTTATGTGATGCCTGTGACCAGCCCCAGTTATCTATCTGGCTGCTGTATTTTGCACCCAATGAAGTTTCCAGACACTTTCTAGAGGCAGCTCCAGGTACAGTGTGTTACAGTAATTCAGGTGGGAGGCGCAGCTGGTGTACTGGTTTTAATTGTGCAAAAGCACTCCTGGCCACTGCTGAAACCTGGGCACCCAGGCTCAGAAATGAATCCAGGAGCATCCCAAAGCTGCACAGCTGTATTTTCAGAGGGAGAGCAACCCCATCCCAGCACAGGCTGAATCCCTATTTCTTGATCTGCTCTTCCACTTGCTAGGAAGCTAATAATCAAATTACTGTGCTCCATCTTGTGGCATTTAAAAAATACCCAAAAGATCTGTTAATTTCTTTAAATGAAATCTGACATTTTATTAAGTGTACATAGAAGTAGGGCCCTTTAATTTGTTTGCCATTCTATTAATTCACGTCAACGAGGCAACGCTTACACCTTCTACCTGCAATCCTCTACTTTTGAATAATCAAAAGCCAGTTAAAAACTTGGCTATTCAAGCAGGCCTTCCCTCCAGTCAATTAAGTTGGTTTTTTTTTTTTGCCATCTTGATAATTTATTGTTTTGGAATTAATCGTTATAATTGTAATTGTATTTTTAAATGATTTTATACATGTTATATTGATGTGTTTTTATCTATGTAAGCCACCCCGAGTAGACATTGTCTAGAGGGGCGGGGGAAAAAAATTAAATAAATAAATAAATAAACAAATGAATGAATAAATAAATAATTATTGGGTTTTTTAAATATACACTGGCAACCTGAGAAACAGCCCTCCCTCCCCTGGCGAGCAACCACGATCACAAAAGCGGGTACCACATCTCTATTCTGCAACACGTGAAACGCTTCTCCTGCTTCCCTTCTTCTTCCCAGCGCCTTCCCCGTGTCTTCTTAATACCTTCTCACGGTCGATCGGCTTTTCAGGTTCTTTTTTGATCTCCTCCTGAGTAACTCGAGACTCCACTGCCATCTTGCCACCGCCTCTGCCCAGCTTCCGAAGAAACAGCCGCGCGAAACAAGGCTTAAGAAAGGAACCCGCACCCTTCGAAGGGATGAATTGGCGGACCCGGCAGCACCCAAAGCCCCTTGTCAGCCCCGCGGAGCGCGCCCTCCCGCTCACACGCTAAACAAGAACCCGAGGGGGCTCCCCCTCTCGCTGCCGAAGCAAGATGGCGGCGCCCACAACAATCACGGCGGCTTTGGGGGGGAAGAATCGGGACGAGCCAGCTCTCGCGAGACCTTAAGTTCGCTCTCACTAGCTCGAAGTGGTGCCACGGGAGACGACGCTTTTTCGAAATGGCCAATAAGGACGTCCTTTGGCGTGAGGGGAAAAGGATCGGTTGAGATAACAAGGAAGCGAGAGCGGGGTTTCGTCTTAACATTGTTCCCTCACGTCAACTGTAGCCTATTTTATACAACTGTTTCGTTCGTTCCCCTTTTCTTACGTACTTAAACTATCGAGATACTGCTTTATTTAGTAATTTGCACTACCTTATTTAGGCACTGCGGAGACAAAGGTTGGCGGTTCGATTCCCTCCTCTGCGAGAAGATAGCCATCCTGGATGGCTTCGGGCGAACTGCATAATCCCGGGATGCCCCCAGAAGAAGGGAAGGGTGTGTTCTTCTGTGTATTCTCTACCTTTAAAACCTAGGAAAGGGTCCCCATAACTCAGAATCGACTCGTGCAGTTACTACAATAGCAAAGATTATTGCACATCTTTCTATTGCATTTTAGCAAGTGAATTAATAAGGTGTGAAAGGCAATCCTAAAATAAATGTTATCCATTTGATGACTCACAACACGAATTTGGAAGATGACTCACAACACGTATTTGGAACAGATACAGCACATAATTAATTGTAGTACTGGAACAATATTAGATTTATCCCATTAAAACACTACATCAATACAATTTTGAAAGAAGAAGGAATTAAAATCACCAGGCCCTCAGGAGTAAAGAAGTCTAAAAATTTTGCTTACCAGCGAGAACCCAGCAAAGAGCCAGTTACCCCTTGTAGGAGTTTCCTAGTCTGAAATAGGTTCACTGTTGCATTCTCCAAACATGTCTGTGAGGATGTTGGGGGAAAAGGATGAGGCATCTCTTGAACTGAAGGTCTGGGCAGACTCCTAGTGGGAGATACAATGGATCCTTCGCATAGCTTGGACCCAAGCCATATAGAGTTTTATAGGTCATAATCAGCACCTTAGACTGTAACCAGAAATAGACCAGTACTCAGGGAAGTTATAGCAAAAATTTGTTCTCCCTATAATTCCTGTCAGTGGCTAACTGCTACTTCAGATCTAATGGAGATTCTGAACAGCTTCGAAAGGCAATCCCATATAGATTGCATTAAGTAAACCAAATGGAATTTAAGTAGGGCGTGTGTTACTTTGACCAGATCAGTTTTTTCCAGCAATGGTGTAGCTGCACACTAGTTTTGACACTGCCAACACCCACCTGGTTACCATCAAAACCTGGGCATCCAGTCTCAGGGTTAAATCTGAAGCACAGCTAAGCAGTAAACCTTAGTTCTCAGGAAGCGGGTGTAACCCCATCTGACATAGGTTTGAATCCCTGTCCCCTAACCTGGCTTTCAATTTATTGGCAGTGACTGATACAATTCATTTTACACTCAATAGGATGTATGTCTTTGCATGGAGAAAATGAGAGAGAGGACCTTTTCAGGGGGGTCCAAGACTGTCCTTTATCATCCCTGACTTGTGCTGACTATCCTTCAACTGTTATTCCTTGGATTTTATTTATTTATTTAATTTATTTATTTAATTTATATGCCGCCCACACTACCCAAAGGTCTCTGGGCGGATCTGTTTATTCCACTTTGCTTCTCACACCTCTCTTGTTCCTCCAAGGATGAGACATCTTGGCATTGTTCTATATTAGGAGTCATTGTTGTAGTTTAGTCATTAAGTCGTGTCCAACTCTTTGTGACCCCATGGACCAGAGCACGCCAGGCCCTCCTGTCTTCAACTGCCTCCCGGAGTTTGGTCAAATTCATGCTAGTAGTTTCAATGACACTGTCCAACCATCTCATCCTCTGTTGTCTCCTTCTCCTCTTGCCTTCACACTTTCCCAACATCAGGATCTTTTCCATGGAGATTTCTCATGAGATGGCCAAAGTATTGAAGACTGAGCTTCCGGATCTGTCCTTCCAGTGAGCACTCAGAGTTGATTTCCTTCAGAATGGATGAGGTTGTTGATATTTCTTCCGGCAATCGTAATTCCGGCTTGGAATTCATCCAGTCCAGCCTTTTGCATGATGTATTCTGCATATAAGTTAAATAAGCAGGGAGACAATATCGTACTCCTTTCCTAACTTTGAACCAATCAGTTGTTCCATATCCATGTCTAGGCAAACAGAAAGAATTTTAAAAAAGCCTCACAAAAGAAGGGTAAGCTTACAATTCAGGCTTACAATTTAGGAGTCATAGCTCCTGATATATCCAACTTAACTAGCTAGAACTAAGATTTTTACCATCTTTCTTATCCCAAGTGTGCAGTAGGACCCCCTTATCTGTGAAATCAGTATCTGCTGATTAACTTATCCACAGTTTGAACATATTAACAATATTAAAAGAAAATCCTACAAATATATATTTCTAAAGCTGCAATTTTTAGCATGTATACATTACTGAAACAGTGACATCTACATTGGCTTGGGCATGTTGCGAGAATGGATGATAGTTGGATTCCAAAAGATGTCCTGTACGGAAAATTAGTGCAGGGAAATTGCCCCAGAGGGAGTCCACAATTGCGATACAAGGATATCTGTATGTGGGATCTGAAGGCCTTAGGAATGGACCTCAACATATGGAAAACCTTGACATCTGAGCGTTCAGTCTGGACGCAGGCGGTGCATCATGGCCTCTCCCATTTTGAAGAGACACTTGTCCAGTAGGCTGAGGCAAGGAGGCATTCCCGAAACCAGTAAAATCAGGGAGTTGGACAGAGGACAGATTGTATTTGTCTTCAGTGTGCAAGGGATTGTCACTCTCTAATTGGTCTTCTCAGCCACACTAGACGCTGTTCCAAGTCCTCCATACAGAGCACGTTATCATAGTCTCTCAAGACTGAAGGATGCCTAAATCAAAAGTGAAGGTACCAGAACCAGCCACTAGAGGGGACCAGATACTGTGTTATATAGTTAAGCCACCACCATTTCACCTACCGGTAGTTTCTCTTCTTCTGCTCTCTTCTTAGGATAACACATGCTTCTTGTAGTCAATAGACAATAACTGTATTATGTTACTTATTCAGCAGGCAAATACTACTATATGCTAGCAAGTACTTTCTTCTGTAAACTAGGGGGACAGGATCCTCACCTTTATGATTCCCAAAAGGAGTGACTCACTTTTATTTATTTATTTACAAGATTTTTTTTTTTAGCCACACCATTACCAATGGTCTCTGAGCGGCATACAACAATATTAAAACTAGAGAAAACTTTAAAACTATTAAAATACCCAATATTATAATAATATCCTATATTAAAACAGTCAATTTATCATTAATAAATCCTACTGCTCATACAGCCAGCTAAAGGATACTACTGTATTTAATTAAAATGCTGGCTAAACTGAAAGGTCCTTGTCTGGTGCTAAAAAGCCAAAAGTGTTGGAGCCAGGCAGATCTTTATAGGGAGCGCGTTCCAAAGTTCAGGGGCAACAGCCGAGAAGGTCCTGTTTCGACATGCCGTCCTCCTCACCTTTTTCAGGGATGGCACCTTTAGAAGGCCCTCCTGGCCTGATCTTAGAGTACGGCTCCCCGTAGGACCTCAGGTTTCAGTATGGATTATCAGAAAGTGATACAAGCTTCAAGTGGAAAATGCTGAATGAAGGACCTGACCCAGAAAAGAGGCATGCTGGTCAGGCTGGAATTCCAGTGGCAGATCAACATCAGGAGGCTGAATTGTAAGCTTACCCTTCTTTCATGAGGCTCTTATTTTTTTGGATTCTTTCTGTTTGCCTAGATTAATGAATAGGCTGTTTTCTGTACCCTGACACAAAGACGTATTAAGAAAGTGAGGGTTGTATGCTTTACAAGTTCATGTTTCATATGCTTAACACTTGGACATACTGTATATTACATGCTGAAATTGTTGTGACCTGTGGAATTTGAATACTTGAATTGTATTACTATTTAAATGGTTACCAAATCACCCAATTTGTCAATAGTTCAACTTTCCTGTATTGTTATTATTTTTATATTATTTATTTATTTTTCTTTATCAGTTAATGAGCTGGCTGAATACCTCAGTGATTTAAGTATTTGGCTGAGGAAGTAGAATTTGGGAGTATACTGTGGTTCCTGCAAGAAGAGTCAACCTATTTGGTCTTGGGCAAGCTGCATGGCCCCAGGGTACCCCCAGACAGGGATTGGTAAATCACTTCTGAGTACTCTCTACCTAGAAAACCCTGAAAAATAATTGACATGACAGCACATGCTTTATGATAATGATGATAATCTATAAATGTATGACACCCATATGCATGGCATTTCCAAGAAAGAGTTGGTTAATCTCCATGAGGATTACAGTCTTTAAAAAATTCAAGGGTATGGAGGCAAGGGAATGATATTATGTGGTTCTTTCATAGAAATCATAGAAAAGTGAAGTTGAAAGGGGCCTACAAAGCCATCAGGTCCAACCCCCTGCTCAGTGCAGGAATGCAATCAAAGCATATCTGCCAGGTGATTATCTAAGTTTTTCTTGAATGCCTCCAGTGTTGGAACACTTACCAGCTGCCGAGGAAACTGGTTCCACTGTCATACTGTTCTAACAGAAAGTTTTTCCTGATATTCAACCAAAATCTGGTTTCCTTTAACTTGAGGTCATTGTTGCATGTCCTACACTCTGGGATGATGGAGAACAGATCTCGCCCCTCCTCTGTATATTTTCAGATATTTGAAAAGTGCTATCATATCACCCCTCAGCCTTCTTTTCTCAAGGCTAAACCTGCCCAATTCTTTCAGGCTTTCCTCATAAGGCTTGGTTTCCAGCCCCCTGATCATCCTTGTCGCCCTCTTCTGAACTTGTTCCAATTTATTAACATCCTTCTTGAAGTGTGGTGTCCAGAACTGGAGACAACACTCAAGCAGAAATATAAACATGATTATATGTTCAGGTCTTCCCTTCTGTCAATGCTTAACTTTTTTTCTTTTCTTTCCTTCCTTATCTGTTTATTATTATATG